GTGGCAGCCCTTATTAAATCTATGTACTACTAATTTGTTTGTTAACACCTTATTATTTGGGCACACACACACACACACACACACACACACACACACACACACATATATATATTGTATGGGCATATATATGGGCTATATATATCCAGGTCATTTTTTTTTCCAGTGTAGGCCTAGGCCACAGTGGTCTCCATAAGCCTCCGCCGCTGCCCGAAGCCACCTCGACGCCAGAAAGACGCCGATCACATCACAGAAATCAGCCACTGAGCGTACTAGAGAAGAAGCAGCTCGCCAACTTTCCACCGAACTGCCGCGCATTACGTTTCTGATCTACGCCTGAGATACGTCCATAACCGCTGAGAGCCATCGGAGAAATCAACATCCAAGAGATTCTGTTGCAACTTTCGCACGGGTGCATGTACGTGGCCGGAATCGCCATTTCTGGTGACCTGGGCATACTTTACATCTACGGCAGCACTTATTTCCGACTTAGGGGGCCAGTAAATGCATTATGAGTCGAAATCCACACTGAAAATGGAGTTCCAGCCTCCTAGGATCACACGACTCGTGTGACATCCAACACAAGTCGTGTCACACAGAACAAGTCCGATGTGAGCTTTCAGCTTTTCCACACGAGTCGTGTGACCTACCATACGAGTCGTGTGGATCTGGACGGGTCCCATACGTGTTTTACTTGTTTTTCCTACTATTTCGACTAGGACTCCGTTCCAACTATTTAAGGGACACTTGGGCACGTTTTTTAGGGGTCTGGGGAGAGAAATTCAGATCTTTTGATGTTAGAAACACAAGCAAGACGAGCGAGAAAGTCGGGAGGAAGAGATTGACGGAGCCGAATAAGCTTTTTCTTTCTTTTTCTTTTCCTCTTTCGAACTTAATGTTTAATATTTATTTTCCCTATTTTGAAAGAATGTTTCTAGGCTAGTTTTATCTTAGATTCTAGGATTTGTTAGTACTCGAATTAATTTATGATATAGTTTTTATTGCTTTCATCCAGTTTATCTTTCGTTTATAAGTTTCTTGCGCTTAGTTTTATTGTATGAGTAGATGGCCACTATGAATGCATGTTTGTGATTGATTTGAGACCGAGAGGAGATAATTGATTGCTAGAATTGGGAGATTTATAACGTAAGGGAATAAACAGATCGAGAGGTTGATAGGATCTTACGAGAGAACTAAATTCCTAGGAATTTATGGAGTTAATTGTTCATCTTGAGACCGAGGGGAGATAGATAGCAATTAATCTATGATTTAACTTGTTCGAGAGAAAGGTTAAATTAGTTTAGCGATTATCACTACAATTGGTAAAATTAAATTAGTTTTGTAGAATTTAAACGTTTCATGAATTAATTTCGAGGAACACTTAGCCTAGAATCTACCTTTTGTATCTTCTTACTTAGATCATGCTTTTATTTCTTAGATAAATTAATTCTTAGTTTTTAAGTTTATAATCATCATCCAATCCAGATTTTTTAGTCTAGATAATATTTAATCGTCGCTATTTTAGTAATTTAATTAATTTAACTACGATCTCTGTGGAATACGACCTTGCTCGCCACTACCTATAACTACGTCGTACACTTGCGGATAGCGAAAATAATTAGCGAACACGGTTTTGGCGTCGTTGCCAGGGATTGTTTTTGTTCAATTGATCAATATTAGAAGAAGACGAATAGATATTAGTTTAGACATTTTTTTGTTATTTTATTTTTTTTTTTTTTCACTTTTATGATATTTTCTTATTCTTCTTTCTTTCTTGCGAGATGGCGTTTTATAGCTACCAATGGCCGGTGGAGAGGACGATGTTTAATAGAGTGGCGACGACCACCGAATCTGACTCGATGGTTTCGTTGAGGGCAAAACTAGCTGCATTCGAGAAGAATGTGGACTCTATGGTGAAGAATGATAATGTCAGGGTGAATGCGGCATCAATGTATGAACACGCCAAAACCGTGAATTATTTGCAGGATCGGAATTACGATAATTTTTTAGGATATCAAGGAGGTAACACATACAATTCGAGCAACCAAGATTATCCTAACATCTCATACACCAGTCCATACAATGCTCTACAACCGCCAATGGGATTTTCGGTGATCAATGGGGTCATCAATGAGCCGAAGATGCCGGAAATCGAAGATATGTTTGCCTCGTTCATGACTCAGACGCAAAAATTCATGGGCGACACTCAGCCGAAGAAGCCGGCAATCGAAGATATGTTCGCCTCGTTCATGGCTCAGACGCAAGAATTCATGGGCGACACTCTTGATAAGTTCTCTACGATAGAGAATCAAAAGTCGATGGAGCAACACATTATGCAAATGATCGCGATGGTCAAAAGCCAACAGCAAGAGGGCCAATTTCCAAATAATACGGAGATCAATTCAGAGGATTGCAAAGCCGAGGATGTGCAAGAGATGGTAGATGAAGCTCCGACTGAGATGAAGAATGTGCATGAGAAAGAGGAAAAGAGGTCGAGGGTCGAGACGATTGTGACTGATTCAGACGAGAAGATGAAGAGGCCGACTGAGGCTCATGAGGTGGTTACACTCAGGGAGGAGAGTAGTGCAATACTTCAAAGTGACCGTCCCGTTAAGTGCGAAGATCCCGGTGGATTTTATATCGATTGTGCATTTGGAGAAGTATATACCGGGAAAGGGCTATGCGACTTACGGGCGAACGTCAACTTGATGTCACCCTCTGTTTTCAAGAAGTTGAAATTGAAGAAGCTTCAACCGACTACAATCACTCTTCAGATGGCGGATAGATCCCAAGTTCGTCCAACCAGAATTTTAGAGGATATTTTGTTGACGGTCGATGGAATTATGTTTTCGGTGGGTTTTGTGGTGGTAGATATGAAGGATAACGGTGATACATCGTTGATTTTAGGAAGGTCCTTCCTAGCCACTGGGAGAGTAATTATTGACATGGAACTTGGTGAGGTCATGTTTTCCTATGATGAATGTCGAACTTTTACACTTGCCCGGGGTAAAAAAAATTCAAGAGCCAAAAGATGGTAGCCGACGCCATGAGAAGATCAAGGAGGAGATTGGGATGAACGGGAATGACCCTTATTGAGAGCTCGGAAGACGTCTAGCTAAAGACGTTAGATTAAGCGCTTGGTGGGAGGCAACCCATCGCTTATTGCTTTTATTTTTATTTTTATTTTTTATTTTATTTTATTTTGTTTTTATTTTATTTTTTTTTTATTTTTATTTTTTAAAAAAAATCTGGAAAAAGAAAAAAAAAAGTGAAAAAAATGGTGGTGATCGAGTGTTCAAGTAAAGCATTGAGGAGATGATCGTGCTCAAAGGGTGCAAGGATTGCTTATGGTGGAGCTTGCTCGAATTTTCGGTTAGTTACTTGGGATATGCCGCTTCTTTTTCTTAAACTTAATTCTTTTCCGAAGAATTAGTTTGGGGGAGAGAGGTGTCGTGTATCTTGAGTTTTGTTATCGCTTTATTGGATATCATATAGACATTTGCATTAGTTTTTATCTTTATGATTTTTTTTAGGTTTTTTTTTTAGGAAGCACGTTTACTCGCTTTATTAGATTAGTAATAATTTGTTTGAGTCGGAGGTTTTTTGCTTTGTCTTGTGTGTGTGTTTTTAGATGATTGGTGGATAGACGAGAAGTGTTTAAAGTTGTTTATTTTAATTATGATATTGTGATGGTGATCATAAATATATGTCTTGATGAGTAATTTTATTGCTTTGTATCAATAATTTATCAATGATTTATTTGCATTGGAGAGGACTTGAGTCTTATTTTTTCAATAGTGAAAGTCATTATATTTGCAATAAAAGTAAAACAACTTTGTGAATATAGAATAAAAAAAATGCAGATTTATTTTCTCACAACTCATCCTAGCGATGTAATATTTCTGTTTTGTAGGGAAATTGAATAGATGATGAGAGCGGAGGACCTGAAGAAGCAAAATGACCCAAGCTGAATCTAAATCATTTCTCGGACAGCAAACGATCTGGTCATGAGATTTTGAGAAACTTGTGTATGGAGATTGAGCATGGATGCCATATGGAAAATTGGAAACCTCAATGACAGACAGAAAGATTACAGAATTTGTGATGAAAAAGGAACGTCTGATCATTAAAGACCTCATCAATGAGGTGGTCCTGCTCAAATATAAGGGTCTTTGCAATGGGTTGAAGAAGCATTACCTACCGTCCGTCTATCTATCTATATATACATGTACCAAATAAACGGCACAATCAAACAAAATTGAAAATGAATTGCAGAACGTACTTTGCCATGTGAAAGGTTGTAATTCGCAAACTACTGAAAAATTAGAAACAAAGAAATTCGTCCGAAGATCCAATAAATGCAGTATACAGACAAAGGAACTGTATGAACAGAAAAACTCAAAAAAGTATTCAGCATTTGAAGGAAATTTGTTTTCTCATGCTTCACAGAATCCAAGGAACCACAAATGCTGCTGCAAGATAGCATAAACAGTGCTTATATTGTAAAATGTTATTATTTCTGTTTATATTAATTTTCATGTATAACAAAAAAATACTTAAATTTATTGGAAAAGTATCACTTCCTACTCGTTAGACATGTTAGGCATCATTACTTTGGGGGAATCTGAGGTAGGCAGTCCCATAAGGTAAGAAAAACAGAAAGCAGGAAAAGGCAAGTATGATATTGGTTATATTAAAGTAATAAAAACAAACATATGGGAAAAGGCAAGTAAAAAAGTGGCTACATTCCGTCGAAGAAAAATATACGATTAAATTTGCATTCATGTATGGAGTTAAGTCTCACCAACGTGCTTCAGCATATTCACATTTGATGGAACTTGATATATACTAGTCTATCAAGAAACATCTGGTATAACATATATGTTGTATAGTTTAACCATTACAACCAATGAAAGCTTCATTTGAAAGCAATTTGGTTGGCCCCAAATATTTAGAAGTCTACGCAAATCCTCAATGATCAAATTAAAGGACAAAAAGAGAAATAAAACTAGAAACTAAAGAGTTAATTAATTCAATTGCCAAAAAATATCATCAATAACGAGGGTTCACAAAGGTAACTGCCAACTAACACCTTAAGAATGGACTCCTTTGGAAGTCTAAAATGCCCGTATACAGAAAAATTGTAGCTCTTCAACTATGACTAATCAGGAAGAAGCATCAGTTGCTAGCTCCATAAAAAACAAATTATACAGTCCCTAATCAAGTAGAGACCTAATTTACAAGTCAGGCGTTTCTAGTTGAAATTCTGCATCTTGACAAACAATTTTATCCACCCCCCTTTTCATCATGCTGTTTCCTCACAATCATCACCAAACCAAACAGAAAGTTTTCGAGTGCTCTCATTCTGGGGATCTGTCATCATTCTCAAGGGCTTCTTGATATTTCCGAATTTAAATTGTAACTCAAGCCTTCTATTCAACAGAATTTCTGTACTGTTCTCAGGTTCACAAGAGCCACTCCGCATAGAAGCATGGGGCTTCGCTGTTGGTTCCGAAGATGTAAGATTTTTCTCAAAAGCTTCGCTATTTTTACGATAATCAGCAATATCATCCAAAAATTTAGATGGAAGAACAGGCAAAGATATTTCCTTTTCACCATGTGGCCAAGGAGGTGCAAGGAATGGATTACTCTCTTCTGCTCGTTGAGACTTTGAAGCATCCCCATCGTCCACTACACAGGATTTTAACCCATTAGAAACTAATTTATGCTGAAATTTGAACATAGGCCTCTCAACCGGCTGAATTTCGTCTACAGCTGCTGTCTCCAAGTCTTTCTCATTCCCCGAACTTAAACTAGAATATGTCTGGGGAGCAGGAAAATTCGGCAGCCAAGTGGGTATATGATTAGGCGGATTAACCCCGGCCTGGGGATAACTAGGGTTTAATATCCTTTCTTTAACTACAGGGAAAATTGGGTTCAGATATGCAGACGGGATTTCATCTGCTTGGCCAACATAACTAATGATATCCTTAATTACTCCAGACCCCGAAAGCGAGTGGTTAACATCCGAAGCCCCTGAAAAACCCTGAGCTAGGCCGAGATCCTCCAATCCCTGAATAACATCAAACACATTGCATTCGCTCCTATTTGCTAAGTTGGCATTGAAACTTGCCGTTTTCCCAATTTCTCTAATGTATCTGACCCCTACATCTGTGAGACTGTCTAGTGCAGACTGTTGAAAGCTTTGAAACCCTAGGCTCTCACAGACCTGCGCAACAGCAATTCTGGCAATGGCCTCGACGAATTCGTCAGCTCCGGACTTCTTCTTTCTCCTCTTTGACTGCTGATTTTCTCTCTCGCTCAAGGACTTCAACTTGTCCCTACCATCCCCATCGCTCATATTCAGCAACACTTCATAATACCATATAACAACCAAATCATACCACCTTACCAGAACTCAATTTGCCGAGCCAACAGCATTCACGCAGAAGCCCTAGATCTTTCGACCCCAGAAGCAAAACAATCGAATTGCAATTATAGAGGTAAACAAAAAATTAAACAGTAGCGAAGGGCTTACCTGAGATTCTCTAGGGTCCGGATTGAGAAAAAATGTATAAACAAACTGGAGCTGAATTGCAGATCAAGGTCGAGCTAGTGGAGAGAGTGATGAATGAATATAAAGTGCTGCAAAACTCATGGCATGCTTGTTTATAAAATAATTCATTTCACGTTCAAAATCTAACTCAACTTTAATTCAACCACATTATCATTTATATTATTTATATAATTAAATATTATAAACCAATCATTCTTACATATCACATCAATTTTAATTCACTATTCATCCACTCACATAATTTTAACTACTTATCATTTTCAATCATTTATATCCTACTTTCATATCAAATTATTATTAATCATTTTATTTTAAATATTATTTTAATATATTATTAAAATTCCATTAATAATTAGTCATACTACCTTTTTCAAAATTAACTCTAGTTAACTAAAATAACTCATTTTGAAAGAAATATTTCACAAACAAGCACGCCCTCAATTCTTCTTAAAATCTCTACAACCCTTAGATAGATATGGTGAAGACGGATTCGAGCCGGAAAAAGCACTAGCACTGGATAGCCCGTTGATAGGGATTATAATACTGATTCGGTCTAACTGGACAAAGACCCGTGAGATGGAGGCCAAACAAGCCTACTGGCCTACTCGGTCATTAGGCTTTACCTACTGGTCCACTAGTCTACTGGTCTAATGGTCTAGTGGTCCAATGGTCTACTAGTCTAATGGTCTAGTGGTCCAATGGTCTACTGGTCTAATGGTCTACTGGTCCACTGGTCTACTGGCCCAATGGTCTACTAGTCTAATGGTCTACTGGTCTAATGGTCTATTGGCCCAATGGTCTACTGGTCTAATGGTCTACTGGTCCATTGGTCTACTGGTCTAATGGTCTAATGGCCTAAAGGTCTAATGGTCGAACATGGGCGAAGCACGATCGACCCATGGTCGATATGTTTGCCCCACAACAATGGTCGAATACGGGCGCAGGCCGATGGAGGCTCGACCGACTCGAGTGGTCGAGCGGGCCGAGTCCAGAGGCAGTCACGCAGTAAAGGGCGAAAGGGATTGAGTTCCGACCCATATAGCCTAACATCGACCGAATCGCATTTGGTCGATAGATAGCTGGGGACTTGTACGCTCAGAGGGAGTCCATACAACTAAGTACTATATATATGCTTTATGTGTCACCTGTATGGGGGTAAGGTCTCATTATTTTTCACTGATACATTTATTGCTCGCAACTCTCTCTCTCTCTCTATTCAAAAGTATTGACTTGGGCGTCGGAGGGTTTTGCGCCGGAGCAATTCCGGCGCTTTGCAGGTACCAACGAGCTCGGAGTGCTTGGACTGAACCATACCCGCCGGCCTACCACTCAAACAGAAGAGGACCTGACAAGGAACCGGAGTCATTCGTCTTGGACCTTATCAAATTGGCGCCGTCTGTGGGAACCATAGCTCAATTGGCATTGATCTGGTGGTATCTCATACATAGCAATCGGAAAACAAGTAAGAAGGAGAAAACGGAAGAAGATGGAGGAGGAAAGAGAGCGGAAGCAAAGGGAAGAGGATAACTCTTGGTTACGCAAGCGTCCTGTAGGGCAGGACCGCCCCCGTGGTGGGTGTTGTGTGGAAACACGCCGGCGACCCCAGCTCCTGCTGTACAGTGGCCACTGGAGCTGTCTGAAGCAATCGCAAATAGCCCAACGTAAACGTAAACAGGTATGATGGAGATGCCAACAAGGCCGGGCGCAGGCGTATCACGCCGTGAGATATGTGGAGAGGAGTTGCAGCTCCAGGAAGAGACGACGGAGAGGACCAATGCAAATTTTCAGCTTCTTATCCCGGAGCAGCCCACGCAAATTACGACTAGCGCGTTGGAGAGCATGATAGCAGCAGCAGTAGATGCTAGAATGTCATTGATCTCACCTCTAGTCAATTGGCCAATAGCTCGACGTGAAACACAGGGACCAGAGGCTCGACCAGAGGGGCGCGAGGTGATAGTTCGACCCATGGAGTAGCACCTAGTACCAGTGTTATCAATGGAGCAGCACGTAGCACCTGTTCTGTCTATAGAGCATTACGTAGCACCAGCTCGACCCATGGAGCAGCACGTAGCAAGAGCACCCTGACACGAAAGTGATGAGCCTGGACAGTCTATCACTAGAGCCCATGCCTCGGGCCATGAGGGATCCCATGTTAGAGCAAATGGTAGCACTATTGCATGACCACCTCAAGTCGAGCACGACCCGTCGCGTGTGAAGCTCCACTGTCTTAACCGCAAGGTCATAAAAAAGGCTTACCATGCTGATGAAGAATCGTGTACCCATTTAACTCGATTTTCTTTGAAGGGCGTACAATAGGCCTTCCTTCTAGGTGATGATTGTGTAGCTGATGTGCCTAGCCAATGTAGAGCTATGAATACCTGCAATAACCGCAACAGGCAGCCATCCTTGTCTCTTTCCCCGCCACCTCATCATCACCAGGCCCTTCCAGCCATGGACTTTACCAGGCTCTTAGTCCAGTTCCAGACCATGCATGCACCTACCTTTTCGGGGACTGAGAACCCCACCGCGGTGTTGGAATGGATTAAGGAGCTCGATAAGATTTTTGTTGTGCTCCCTCTCTAGGACAAACAGTGTGTTTCTCTCGTCGCTTTCCAGATAAAGGCAAATGCTTCCGACTGGTGGATCGACCACTGGGCCCGGAGGCCAGAGGCTGAGCTTAACGCTCTCACCTGAGAGCAGATGAAGGCGATGGTCCGAGGCAAGTTTCTTCCTCCGAGTTTCTGGGATCGGATGGAGCACGAGTTTTATCATCTGCAGCAGGGCAGCACCAGCGTGGACGAGTACATCTGCACTTTTACCCGAATGTGCCTCTTTGTTGGTGATACTGTGAACACCGATGAGAAGAAGGCCCGTAAGTTTCTGAAGGGACTGAACCATAGAATCCGTGAGCTGGTTGGGAGTCACGGTCCGATGTCTTATGCCGACACTGTCAGTCGGGCTCAGGCAGTGGAGAGCCTTCTCATCCCGACAACTCTTGTTCCTTCATTTTATCATGCTGCTCAGTCTGTCTAGGCTGTACCCCCAGTCGTCCCTCCTCTGTCCTATCAGTCGCCGCTCATTTCCCAGGCGCCCTATCAATACCCTGTCTCCTATGCTTCAGCTCCCCCATCCTCTAGCTCTGGCAAGAGGAAGAATGATCACCAGAACCATAAGAAGGGCAAGCGCCCTAACCATGGCCAACGCCAGCATCAGCAGCAGCTCGTGGTGCAAAATGTTCAGCCTATCCGCCAATTCCCAGCAGGACTGCCGCCATGTGGAGCATGCGGGCGAGTCCACGAGGCCAACATGTGTCGGGCTACCGACGTGACTTGCTACAACTGCTAGAAGAAAGGTCATTACTCTCGTGCCTGCCCAGAACCTCGGAGACCGAACCAGCAGCAGCAGCAGCCCATACAGCCCCCACTTTACCAGCAGAGGACAGGAGGCCAGGCCCGTCTCTACACTATCGCCCACGACGAGGTAGCCAACCCCACAGGTACCATGTTCGGGATGCTTTCGATATCCAATGTGCTTGTTTTTGCTTTATGTGACACTAGAGCAAACCTTTCATTTATCTCTCCCCAATTTTCTGAGGCCCTATCTGTCATAAATGTGTGCCAAGTCGATGCGTAGGTTAACTTGAGAATACCTTAGCCTCATCATAGACGGCGGACCATCTTTTGTGATATGTTTAACTTTGAACCAAGGTGGCGTCTGCGAGAATCATCGCATATGGAGGAGCCTCGACACCTTTCTAGGGATGTTTTGTTGTAGGAGAATCTTTTAAGGAGGGTAGCCGAGCCTGATGTAAGACATCGTGAGGTGCAGAGCCGTTTTCGTTTTTGAATTGGGTTCATCGTAAATCTTTGAAAACTCTCGTTCTTTTTCCCTTCGGAGTTTTGAGAGTGACCCTTTGTATTTCTATAATTTTTGCAATCCTTTGAAAACTCTTGTTTTTGGTTCGGTTGAAGTTTCCACTTCAAGACTTGCAACCTGATATATTGATTAAGGCGAGTACTTTCGTTTACCGCTCGTCTTATATCGTTCTTTCTTCTGTGGTGATGCTATTTGGTCTGGGTGCTTCATTCATACCCGGATCGGTTAGTCGTGATCTTTATTGTTGATGTCCTATGTTCGAGACGCGATCGAGACGAATCAACCGAGGAGGCTTTGTAATGAGATCCAGAAACTTAAAAATCTTAGCAGCGTAGAAATTAAGCTCGATTAGGACTACCGGCACGATTAGCTACCGACGAAAGAGCTGACGTGACGGCGACACTGTTGGTCGGAAGAGTCATGCGAGCTGATTTTTTTTTCATTCTTCGGCAATGACCATTGAGTTGGGATTATTCCCAGCTGAGGGTACCACTATTCGATATCTTTAAAAAATTTCTCAGTATCTCTAATGTTTTGATGTTCCGCTTGAAGTTGTATAGTTTGGGGGAATGTCTTTGTTGAACCCTAATGTTTGTCGGTTTGAAGGTTTGGTGAAAACCTTTCCTTTTGGGTTACCGTGATAGTGCGAACCTCTCGAACTGAGTGCCGACACTGATTGGGTGTAGTCACGCGAAGTGGTGGTCGGGCACGCGAGCCCGTGCTGAGAGACGTGAGGCACTACAGGGCCGATCGTTGACTCGCACGAGAGCTGCAGCTACCATCACCGAAAGTAGGAACTCCCCAAGTCTGTGTGTGCGGCCGAACCTTGGCCCTGCAACTGGTCTCTGAACGGATGTACGCTCACGTCCCAGCGCCCCGCTTATGCAGCGCCAGTGGGTGTGACATCTCTCGGGTGAGAGTCCATTTAACCCCGGACTGGCTATGTCCTTTTAGATCGTTAATATAGGATTATCGATCATCCCTATGTGAGAGACCGGTTGGATTCTGGTGTACTCGATAGGTATGTCGTGTGAAATTTCCTACCATGGGCAGTACGCTTATAGCGATGGCTAATGAGCGACGATCTTGATGGTACCGTACGAGGTTCTGAGTACGGAAAGAGGTGTTGTACGCCTAGGATTATGGGAAGAGAGGAAGTATCAACCACACTTTGTCGGGTTCCTATGGGATTCTCGACCGAGTCGGCGAGTTAGCTTGATGGTTGACCTTATCACCGGAGCTTGCGAGAGTGCACGACATGTTCAGTGCCTCGTGGAGAGGGGACATGTGCGTAACTCTTGGCACGTGGCGAACTTTGACGAGCTGTATGTGGGCAGAACCTTACCTTTGATGAGGTACCGGTGACCTACTGGATTGACGAATCTATCAGGGAGAGTCCGGGAGAGGTACTCGTCAAGGTCAGGCGGGGTAGCCATGGCTAGTGCGGTGTGACTTGGTAGAGTGCTGAGATTCGGACAAGATGTCAGAGTTTAGTGGTTTGAGCTTCCCTCTTGTGTCAGTTGTTCTGTTAGGATGACTTTCCTTTATTTCGGGGGACGGAAATCGTTTAAAGAGGGTAGACTATAATGCTCCATTTATTTGTGGTTTATTTTTTTTTTTTTTTTGCCAAAACGATAGAGGTACTATATTAAACCGCACAAAGTGCGAAGAAAAAGCAGCCAAGGGCTGAATAGTACAACCGAAGACTAGAAAACTGGGAGGCAGATCCAGAGATCGCCTAGAGCCGACCTCAACGGGGTAATACTCGGGCAACACGCATGAAAACAACAAAAAAAACACAAACACACTAAACCAATTACACCAACAAAACTAAACAAGACCCCCAACGGAGTAATACCCGAGTGTCGGACCCCCACGGAGTAATAAGTTTGACACTCGGGCTCACAGGGACCAACGGCTCAAACCTAAAACACAAGACACACATAATACAAGTACAGACACAAAAACAAGAACACTAGAAACAAAACACACATAAGCGAAAAAAAATCGAACAACCCTTCCCCAGCGAACGAGCTAGCCCGAACCAGCAGAGAACGATCTACACAAGACCAATCCAAGCAAAGAACCTACTACCGAAACTGCAATCAAGCCTATACAGTAGCAGAATCCTAACTCCGAACCAGTCCCCGAATAGACCCATCGAAGACCGAGAGAGCCATAATTCACCCCACTCCGATTCCCTCCGAACTCTTCTAACACCACTAGACGAGGTCAAAAGAAACCTCCCCGCCGCCTAACACCACTAGGCGAACGGGGATTGAGCTAGAGGAAACAGCCCTCTCCCCTGCCGCCGCAACCGAAACAGCCACAGCAACTAGGGTCCCGCCCTAATCCCCGGCTCTCACACCTCCCAACTCCACTGCAAACCGCCGACGACCATAGCCCGAACCCACCGGAAGCCCCGCCGAGGACAGCGAGACCAACCCGGGAGACCACCGACAAACCAGCAAGAAGAAGAAGAACAGGGGCCACTAACGTCCAATTGAAGACAGCCAACGACCGAGGAAGACCAGCCGACCCAGACCGGAGGAGCGCCACCACCCGACACATACTCGTCGGCGACGGAGGAAAGGCCACCAATCGCAACCCTTGCAGGGACCCCTGAGATTCGCGAACCAAGGCCGGGCCGAGAGGTCAAGATGACCACTGGCCGGTGACTAATCGTCACCAAGGAAGGCCGGAAAATCCGAGAGAGGAACCTGAATGGACGAGCTGCGCGATTATTATTATTATTATTATTATTATTATTATTATTATTATTATTAATGTTATTATCATTATTATTATTGTGATTATTATAATTGTTATGATGTGTCTAAATATTATTAATTGCCTAATTGTAATTAATTGCCTCATTGTATATTTTGATTTTTAATATTATTATTTTAAAATAATGTATGTATTAAATAAATATTTATCCAGTTTTTTTTTAATTGTCAATCGAACAATCGAGCCCGGGAGCCAAATTTATTTTCGTGTAGTTAAACCGAGCCCGAGAGTCGAATTATTTTAGGCGAAACCCACGTGCGAACCGGCCCGTGAGCCGTTAACCCGCCTAGTGGACCTGCCAAGACCCGGTTTCTCTAAAATCCGCGTGATGTGTGCGTGTGGGATTTTCTTGTGATTCAAGAAAGTCAAACCTAGGCTTGTTTACATATAAAATCTTGTATCTATCGCCTCCCCTCTCAGATATCATTCGCGCAGCTTTTTCAGATCTCTCCCGCAGTCAACCCTCACGCTCTCATTCTCGACAGAAATCTCACCGTCTTTCCCCTCGGCATCTCTCTTGTGAAACCCGATCACATCCCTCTCTCCCTCTGGTTGTCTCGTCTCCTCCACCATCAACTCGCCATCTCCCCCGCAGCAGACTACCGCCGCCAGCCAAT